GGATGGCTCAGCTTCTTCACTTCTATAATAAGCTATTAGCTTAAGCACCTGCTCACCTGGTACCTAAAACCATGTTGGAATTCCAGCATTCTGGGCCTGGATCAGAGCACATAGCTCTGTGTAGTTACCATCATTGATAATTAAGCAATTCTATTTGGTGACATATTAATAAGCTTACCTGCTTCTCTGGATCCTATAAAGTCAGTCTTCTGTTGAGTTAGGTTAGATCATCTGAAAACTGTGTACTTGAATCCCAGTAGCTGAGATTTTTTTTTGCGGAAAACATGTCACATTATGCCTGTGGCTCTATCCAGGGATTACTTTAAAAAGAAGTAATATGACTGGTTGCGGTGGCTCACACCTGTATTCCCTGCCCTTTGGGATCTGGGTCATCTGAGGTCAGGAGTTCGAGACCACCCTGGCCAACATGGTAAAACTCTCTAAAAATACAAAAAATTAGCCAGGCATGGTGGTGGGCACCTGTAATCCCAGCTACTTGGGAGGCTGAGGCAGGAGAATCACTTGAACCCAGAGGTGGAGGCTGCAGTGAGCCGATACCATGGCATTGCACTTCAGCTTGGGCAACAAGAGCGTAATTTCATCTAAAAAAAAATAATAATAATACAACATTTCCTTTTGCTTTTGTTTTTGAGAATACTGCCTGGTATATCATTGTGTATTCTATTTATAAAGCCCAATGTGAGAAATTTCCTTCAGAGTTTAAGGGCATAAAAATATTTGTTTTCTTTGAGACAGGACATTTCTTATCTTTTAGAGTATAAAAGAGGTATCATTTATTTTGTTTGTCTATTTGCCCTAGCTGCCTGGGAGCACAGGGCCAAATTTGAATGTTAATTGTAGGAATTATGTCAAATTTTGTAAACTAATTTAAAAATAGTTACATATCCTGGGAGTTAGCAAACTATGGCCCACCCACTTCTTTTTGTAAATAATGTTTTATCAGAACAGAGCTGTAGTCATTATATTTATGTATTGCTTATTGCTTTTGTGCTACAGTGGCAGACTTGAGTAGTTACTCTCTGGCCCTTTACAGAAAAAAGATTTCTAGTCCTGTTATAAATAGTTACATGTGGATCAGACCAAAGGCAGTAACACTGAATATAAAGCAGTGTGATTACTGTTAGATGTAGCTAGTTGGAAGAGGCTTAAGAGATGTGCTATGAAAGGAGTTTAATATTTAAGCAGTGGCGGCATATAAAAGACATTTTATGTGGGAGAGAAGAAGAAAAATCCTGTAGGACTGTGCAGATTTTGAACATGTGCGACCATTTTGGAAACTGTTTTAGCTAGATTAGAATTACAGCAGTGAAAATGAAGTTGTATGGGTAAGACTGTTGATAGGAAGGCATCAAAGCTAGGCATCAGAATTTGCATTTAATCTGACAGACAATTGCAAATCCACTATGGATTTTTCACAGGGGAGCGATGTGATGGGAACAGTATTTCAGTACAGTTAATCTAACGGCAGTGTATGAACTCAGCATATAGCGCCCCAAGACTAAGCAGTTACTGGAGTAAGCCTGGTTTGGGGAACTACGATGATGACTGTAGAACGGAGAGGAAGAGTAGCCTCTGAGGTGCTGGAAAGAAGGAAGACAATTTTGGGGCTGACTGGATTTAGAGAGTGGTGGTGAAGGAAACTGCGAGAGGAGAACTGGAGAAAAATGAACTGAAGTGACAGTTTTTTTGAGAGGAAAATACGTGTTTTGTTTTTGACATCCCTGGTTTCTGGTGTTTTAGAGCCTACTAAGAGAAAGTATAGAAACATTTGGAGAACTGTGCTAGATGATGCCTGATAACTGCGGCAGACTTTGTATGGAGGGACAACAGCACAAGGCAGAGTGGCTGGGGAGTACCTCCAGGAAAGAAGATAGCACTGGAGAAGCAGAGTGAATGGAGGAACAGGAGTCAGTGAAACAGTGTTTCCCAATGTGTATCCCAGGACAGACTGATAGTATAGATGGTTAGCAGGTATTTTCCATTGCTGCATGGCCAGATAGGTTTGATGAATTCTGAGTTAAGCAAAGTTAAAAAGACTAACTGTTTTAGACCCTCTCACGTTCTTTAATAATATGGACCATTATTTGTATCTCCAATAAGCTGTTTCCCTCCAAGTTTAGATTCCTGTATTTAACTTTCTACGAGACATTTCCCCTTGGGCTGTTTATGAGGCATCTAAAATTTAACTGTCCAAAATGGAATTTCTTGTCTTCCTCACAAAACTTGGTTCCCCATCTCAGTTGATGGCAGCTCTGTCTTTTCTTTTCACTAAAAAATGCCATTATAAGAAGTAATATAGAAGTAGTATAGTTCCATGGGTAAAATGGCCAAAGGAATTGAGATTAAAAATGAAATTGCTCAGGTTGAGCATGGTGGCTCATGCCTGTAATCCCAGCACTTTGGGAGGCTGAGGCGGGTAGATCAATTGAGGTTAGGAGTTTGAGATCAGCATGGCCAACATGGTGAAACCTGTCTCTACTAAAAATACAAAAATTAGCTGAGCATGGTGGTGGGTGCCTATAATACCAGCTACTCAGGAGGCTGAGGCAGGAGAATCTCCTGAACCTGGGAGGTGGAGGTTGCAGTGAGTCCAGATTGCGTCACTGCACTCCAGCTTGGGCAACAGAACAAGACTGTCTCACAAAAAAAAAAAAAAAAAAAAAAAAAAAAAAATTGCAGAGACAGGGTTTCACCATGTTGGCAAGGCTGGTCTCGCCTCCCCCTCACAAAGTGCTGGGATTTTAGGTGTGAGCCACTGTACCTGGCCCATTCTCCTATACCCTTATCTGATCCATTAGCAGCCACATTGGCTTTTTTTTTTTTTTTTTTTTTCAAATATATCCAGAATCTGACCCCTTCGTACGTACCTCAAGTGATTCTATTGAAATCTTACCCCCTATTTGTGCAGCAGCTTCCCATTTTACTCAGGATAAATATGTCACTCCCTCTAGCGGCCTGCAAGGCATTTTACCACCCGGCTTCTCATTGATTCTCTGACCTGATTTACCATTCTTTTCCTCCTTCACTCTGCTCCACGCATATCTCTTTGTTCTTCCTAAGACAGGGCTTACGCAATTTATTAGCTTAGGGCTTTTCCTGTGCCTGTGACACTCTTCGCCCTAGATAATCTGTTTGGTTAACCTAACTTCCTTCTCCTTTAAGCCTGTTCACATGCCACCTTCTAGAAGATTCTGACCCTGACCACCATATTTAAAATACAAAGTGTGCACGTTCCCCATTTCTCATCCCCTTTGTTCTACTTTACTTACTTTCTGTTTTTTTAATAGCCATTACCGTATTCTCACATATTTTATATATTTGTTTAAAAAATTATCTCCTGCATTCTACTAGACTGTAAGCTCCATGAATGCAGACATTTTTGCCTATTTTGTTCACTGATATAACTCAAGCACCTAGAACTGTGCCAGACACACAATAGGCAACTAATAAGCGTTTGTTAAATGAATGAATGGATCTTCAAGATGGGAATGTATGTCCCCATAGAATCTTCTTTTTCCCCCATGGAGATTTTCTTTTTACCCATGTTTCCCAGGGATGCACTGTAGGAGATTCTGTTATATGTATTATGGAATTCAAAGGAGCAGAAAATTACAAGGAAGTTGTGATTGACACAATTGGGAAGTTAAACAGTTTTGACCTGTTTAAGCTAATAAGTAGATTTAGATAGGAAATTAGTTTGCAATCTTAGAACAAGTTGTTTCAGTGTTGTGGAATGTCAGATTCAGGGAGGAAAGTTGGACATAGATGTTGAAGAAAAAGACCAGGATAAATTACCCATTCAGGGACTTATAGTTTTGGATAGATAAAAGGGTGGAAAGTACAGGTTGATTATTCCTTATCTGAAATGCTTGGGACCAGAAGTGTTTTGGATTTTGATTTTTTTTTTTAAATTTTGGAATATTTGCATATGCTTTAAATGGGTTGAATATCCTAATCTGAAAATCCTAAATGCCCCAACATATCCCTTGAGTGTCATTTCACTTGAGTGTCACATCAGCGCTCGAAAAGTTTCAGATTTTGTGACATTTTGGATTTTAGATTTTCAGATTTGGGTTGTTCAAGCTTTAGTTAGAAAAGGCTGCCCGTTCATTCCAATATGCTTTGTTTTTTGAGATCGAGGGAGCTTGGTTTTTCTGCTTGCTATTTTTATAAGTTAATCTAGGGTTGTTTATTGATATAAATTTTAATGTTGATCATAATAAGTAGGTGAGCTAGGGAACCCTATTTTTCAGAGTAGTGTAATTTTGTAGGTTTAGTGCTTCATGGAAATGGGATAAATTAGGGTCCTTAGGAAATCCTCTTATTAGTTCCATGCTTCTGCTTTTATCACCTGCCCTTCCCATCCTTTTTGCTTGCTTTTCTTTTTGTGAGCCCAGTAGGAATGAGAAATGAGATGTAAATATTAAAAGTTGGTGCTAATTGCTTGCTGTTCCTCCTTTAGGAAGCAAGCACTCTGTTTTAATGTGTGAATTTCTAGGTCTTTTCTATACTTCCTGAAAAAAGTTCCCCTAGGCTTCACACTTGTCACTAGCAGTTGGATTAGTGCTTAAATGAAAGCTTGCACCAAACTGAGCCGTAGTTGAAGTAATTTTATGACAGTTTGACTCTCCCTTATAGGTTTTGATCCACGAAAGAATTAATTTCTGTTTCAAATGTGTGGTTGAACTTTTGGATTTTTTTTTTTTGCATTTCCCTAGTGTGAATTAATTTTTTTCAGGATTAGCTCTCATGGGAAAAACCAAGAGAGGTTGGACATTTTTAGTTTATTTATCAATCATGACATTTGAGTGCTGAATGACAATGAAGTTATGCCAAGTATTACTTTGCAGAACCCTGTGCTTTATTTACATTGTTGTCTTTGGAATGGATTACATTCACATTATTTGAGGAATAATTAATTGGGGTTCCAATTCAGACCAGTTGGAAGACTAACAAATATTCTTTTGTTTTGGTTACAGAAACTGCGTACATACATGTAAGAGAAGCAAAAATGTCAGATGATATCAGGAAAAGGTTTGAATTTCCAAATTCTCTTATCCAATCACAGGTAATTTTGTTTGTTTATTTTTGCTCATGGCAACAAATACACCTGTTCTGTGGATTGTTATCTGAACTTTATATATTTAACATTAAATTTTTATTCTACATGTAGAGATTTATATTATTTTATGAAACAACTTTTATGAGATAATTTGAAAATATATATCTCACTAAGAAAGCAAATATTTGAAATTGATCAATCTCAGCTTCTATTTATATATCATACTTTTCTTCCTAGCGATAATAAAACCTTGATTAACTAGTAAGCCTCGGAATATGTTCGTTTCTTTTTTTTTTTTTTGGCCTATAATTATTGGGAACAGATGTAAATAGTTATATGTCCACAGAGTATTAGGGATTAATATTTAATAAGATATATCCTACACATTATATACATATTTGTAATAATGACATTTAATAAGTAAAATATCCTGGATTAAAAAATTTGATGTGTCTACTGAAGAGATTGTGGTAACTTTAGTGAGCTTTTCAATAGTTAAATAGTTAAAATGAAGATGGTTTTCTGGTTAGCCCTTAGCTAACTAGAAGCATTCTGGTTAAGCAAGGTATCATAATAGCTTACTGTCTTTTCTTGTGAGAGTAAAGCTAACAGACCAGCAGGTACCATCTTGAAGACTTAACAACGTACGGCGCCTTGGATACTTTCAACAGTTAACTTCGGAGATGCCTGCTGTGGGAATTGACTTAGCTGGGTAGTGGGGAACCCTTCCATGAGGAGTAGAACACTCCTTATGCAAGATTCCCTTCTACCTGGCTGGGTTGGAGTCATATCCTACAGGACCGTGAAGAAGAAGATGAACGCTTGGAGGATACTGTTCATAGTTTTATTTTTCTGTGCCTGGGGTCTCTTTGTTAGCATAGATAATCGAGAAATACCCATCTGTGTTACTGTGAAATTAGGTGAAAACTATATATGTATTGTTTAGTGTAGGATGTCTATTTGAATTCTGTTTTAGAACATTTAAGTAGCAGTGTAGGCTGATTTATCCTCGGGTTTTGTATTTTAAAAAATCAGTTTAGGCTAGTATCTCTGATTTGTTAGAAGATGAAATGAAAAGTGTATTAGAGAAATTGAACCTGGTGGAGAATGGGGAATTAAGCTTTTTTTTCTTTTAGTTCTTTTTCTAAGTATGGACTGTAGCTTTTTCTTTGTCCCTATTGTGTTTCATATTGGTTTTATTAGGTTCTTGTGTTTGTGTCCTGTACTTTGCAAATATTTCTTATTGTTCTTCTGTAACCACTGCTCAGTGTTAGCACCATATTTCATTTATTCATGCACCTTTTTTTTGAAGATTTTAACGTCTTTGAAATTGGATTGCATCTAGTAATGATGGCAGTAGTTGAGATACAGTTGGTATTGCCTGCACATTTGTAAACTTGAACATGATTTTCTACAGGAGTCTAAAAGAGCTCTTGTGTGAATATAAAATCAAAATTCTAACTTAAAAGAAGCATTGTATATCACAGACTAATTGGCAGCCTTTCTTCTTTCTAGTGGTACACAATATAATGGTGCAACTTGCAGTTCATGATCAGTTACATTCAATGAAGTATAGCATATTTTGTAAATCAGGAGCTCAACTTATCCATGGGCACTCAATTCTTGTTACTATTCCTTTTACTAGGAGATAAGAGACAGTAAGTAAGTTGGACTAAACTTAATATTCGTGTAAATGAATGACTTGTATTGCAAAACTGGAACCACAAGCGCTGCGGTCTTAAATCAGTTCCAATGTGTGAAATTCAAAGAGTAAAATGAGGAAGGAGTGGGTGCTGTGTTTTTATTTGAGCTTTTCTGGAGACTTTGGAAGAGTGACAGCTATTCACAGTTATACCATAATTTGGTCCCAAGTGCAGGATGGACAGTTGTTGCAGTAGTGAAGTTTTCCTAACCCATACACAGAATGGCTATGATTGTTGCTAGCCTATTGACTCTAAGACAGTAGTACTGGGTAGTGCTGAGGAACTAGGGGACTAAAGTTGAAGTAGTAGGAGGTAATGATATTCATGTCTTTATGTAACCAGCACTCCTGTAAAAACATTGAATTTAATTTTCTTTTTTTTTTTTGACTAAATCAGGATATGGGAAAATTATGAAAGCTTACATTTAAATTGAATTTAAGGGCTGAAACCTATGAAAAAATGATAAAGAAATCAAAATTATATGACCTAGAGGAAGGAGAAGGGTGGTGGTGGAGGGAAGCCATCCCTTTTGATTCACATCTGTGCGGGCTATAGTCATAAAGATGAGTTTCTTCATCTTCGTTAATGGTGTGGTGAAGCGTGATAGATTTCATTTCAATGCAAAGATGATTTTAAAAACTATGGGGTTTCTCATTCATGGTTTAATGGAGTTATCTTCTGATACTGACAGCAATTCAAACCAATAATCTGGCAGTTTTCTTAACTTCTAGGAACTATAGTTGCTTACTGGTAACCTGGGATAGCTATGCCTACCTTGAGGGCTGTTCCAAAGATTAGAAATTATATATGTGGAGTGCTTAATTCAATACCTTCTACATAGCACATACTTAATAAATGAAAATTTTATTTATTCCCAATTGACTGCCTGGCATACTCATATCAACTAGTATTGATATTTGGAAAGAACTTCTAAGGGACTGTATTCATTAATTTTATTTGTTTTTTAGGCTGTGGGTCATCTTCTTGCTGCAGTCCTAAAGGAAAATGGTTTTTCAGAAAAGATTCACCAATCTACAGATCAGGTCTGTGTTTAACTTTATGGTTTAATTCTCTTCAGATAAGATACCTACTAGCTGGATCAGATATGCACCTGTCTTGTTTCCCTGATAGTTCAGATCATAGTAGAAATGTTTTTGAATTGTGAGAACTTCATTGCCCTTTTTGTTTGTTTGCCTTGTTTTTATTGTATAGCATTTAAAAAGTTTTAAATTTATGAAAACACACTCTAGGAGTGAGACATGGAGGGCTGGAGGAGTATTCTTATGACTATTAATGAAAAATAATATGGGTGGAATGAGAGAAGGCATGCTTTAGAGAAGATTGATAGTTACCTTTGAGGGAATCATTTTGGTTAATGAAAAGAATGGCCCTGTTTGGATGTAGATTTCTCATGCTTCAGCTCAGCCCCAGTTGTGAGTTCTTAGTTGGCAAGGTCATACATTGACAGTCAAAGCTGAAAAATTCCATCCTAACACAAATAGCAGGTGAGTGCTCAGAGTTGAAGCAATGCCAGCTTACTGAGATATACCACTTGGGACTTGGTTGATCAATGTTGTGTATTTTGACTTGCTAGTTGGGAAACTTTTCTTAGAGGTCTTCGCAGGTGTCCTCTATAGGGAACATAGGTGATGGAAATAAGATTCTTTTTTTTTTTCACAGCAGAAATAAATTGATTTTCTTTTTCTCACATTCTTTTTGATTAGCTGCTCCAAGTTACATTTCTTTATCACTTCCGCCGACATAGTGAAGTAAATGTAGAACAAACTTCACTAACTGGCATTCGTCTGGTATTTGTATGTAGTCATATAAATTAGGTTTTCTGAGAACTCTGTTCCTAATCCTGTCTATAATCACATTGTGTACTTTGAAAAGATCTAGTGGTTTTATTTAAACTGCCAGGATTTATTGAATGTCAAATCCCTGTAACTGTTTCCTCTTCTACTAAAAATGAAAAGCATTCACAGTATTACCTGAAGCAGCAGTTTATTTATTCATTTGTTTTGTTTTTCTGGTGTAGTAAGAGAGTAATGACATTTAGAACCTTTTGATATTGTTTATACAACTGAATACAATGTCCTTCTGAATAAAAGGTGAAGTGGAATATAAATATTTCCTTCCTGTAGTGACTATTAACTGTATTGTTATTTTAATAGTGGGATGCTAAGATTGAAAAGATTCTCTGCCATCTACAGAGGGGAAGTGGGTATGAAATGATGTTGCTTTTCTTTTCTTTTCTTTTCTTTTTTTGAGACAGAGTCTGGCTCTGTCGCCCAGGCTGGAGTGAGTGGCACGATCTCAGCTCACTGCAACTTCTGTCTTCCAGGTTCAAGCAATTATTATGTCTCAGCCTCCTGAGGAGCTGGGATTACAGGCATGCATCACCATGCCCAGCTAATTTTTGTGTATTTTTAGTAGAGATGGAGTTGCACCTTGTTGGCCAGGCTCGTTTCAAACTTCCAACCTCAGTTGGAAATCCCAAAGTGTTGGAATTACAGGCATGAGCCACAGCACCTGGCCTTGATTTTCTTTCTTTTATTAATAGTTATTCTTTGGGGGCCAGGGAATTAATTTTTCCAAAATTATGTATTTCCCTAATAAGTTGTATAAGGAAAAAGGAAAAATCACTTCATTATTTGTTCTACTTCTCTTTTTTTTTTAAAAGAATACAATTGTGTGTATGTCTAAATGGACTTTATTCATAATGCAGTCATATATAGGTTTATTGTTAGCAGTAAACCTTTTTGGTGATCCTGGGTTCATGAGAAAATTATAAAAGCTAGAACCTCTGCTTTGATAGATTTTTCCAAAATGAAAACTTATATTTACTTATATGTCATTTTCATGCTTTTCTATCAAAAGACAGACTCACAGTGTGAGAGGGAAAAAGTCAGTTTCTTTCTTGGGCAAAACACTTTTTCCTAGGCTTTTTTTTGTGTGTGTGGGGGGTTAGTTATGTGATGAGCAGCTTGCTGGTGGCCTGTCCTACTTCTCTCTCTCTCTCTCTCTCTTTTTTTTTTAAACTTGAGATGGAGTCTTGCTCTGTTGCCCAGGCTGGAGTACAGTGGCACAGTCTAGGCTAACAACAGCCTCTGCCTCCCAGGTTCAAGCAATTCTCCTGCCTCAACCTCTCGAGTAGCTGGGATTATAGGCTACCACACCCAGCTACTTTTTGCATTTTTACTAGAGACAGGATTTTACCATGGTGGCTGTTGGCCAGGCTGGTCTTGAACTCCTGACCTTGTGATCTACCCACCTCACCCTCTCAAAGTGCTGGGATTACAGGAATGAGCCACAGTGCCTGACCTTTCTCTCTATTCTATCTGGGCGCACATTAGACTTCAACAAACTGTGGCAGGGGCATTGTGGGTGGTGGTGAGGTGCATGTAGGCCATAGAGGTTGGTGGTAGGAGAGCAGGAACGTTTTCTGAAAATAACTGTTACTGCCATTGAAGGCTTGTAGCATAGATAGTATTTGGACTTCAACTTAGACTAACTGATAAACTGATGCTATTAGTGTCTGGTTAAATTCTTTGGTTATAGCAACGTGCTAGAACAAAGTCTTAGCTTTGCTGTGTGGCTTGAACTCAGGTCATACCTCTGCCTGCAGCCAGCCTTGTTTTACAGCCATGATACCAGGTGAGAGAGAGTTGCTATATCAGAACACATCCATTACCTCTCTTGGAAAATTGACTTCATATTATTCTAGGAACAGAGTAATAAGAGCATCATCTTTATATAGGAAAGCTAGCCTACTGTGAACAAATTACACATTGATGAATGACGGAAGGTGTGTGTTTGCTGCTCATCAGAATTGTCTTGTAATCACTGGTTTGGTTTCAGACTCCTGCTTTGAACTTGCTGTGGGAGAAGTGCTGCAGTGACGATGTAGTGGTTCGAACAGCCTGCTGTGAAGGTCTCGTGGCACTTGTTGCTCAGGATCATGCAGAGTTCAGCTATGTTCTCAATGGGGTACTCAACCTGATTCCATCAACCAGGTACTTTTTCCTCAGTATTTGGTCAGGTAATGATTTAAGCTTTTAGGGAAAAAAAATTCAGTAAATACCTATTAATGGTCAACATTGGTCCTACTTGCCAGTGGTTTTCCTTGCTCTTAAAATGTCATGCAGTTGCTATGTCATTATGAAAAGATCATGCTAATTTAAACCCTACAGTTTTGGAATTTGTGCTCATTTGCTCTACTTAAATTTGTCATTGTTCTTTTTAAGAAGAAAATGGCTAAATAGTTTATAGTTCAAAAATGCAATGCAGATTCCTGACTTATTTTCAGAAAGCAGGGTATCCATAAGCAACGTTTCTTTCAGAATGGTATAGTTTATACATTGTAGTGAGTGGCATTATTGGCCAGCCATTGACATTAGTGTATTAGAAAATAATGGCACTTATTTCTCAAATATTTTGTGGTTTAGGGATGTCTTTTCCCTGATTATTCCAAGTTAATAATGTTTTGTTCTTTGAATTTGTTTGGTATGACCGTATTTAGTCCATTTGCAGACTGAGGTAATGGGATAATAAGGAATAAGAGGACTCTATATCAGGGATCCAATATGGTCAAATAGGACCATATTTGAACCAGCGAGCTTCTGTTGTAAACTACTCCCTGAAAAGGAGTTGTTACTCTTTGCTTCAAGGTATTGTCTTGAGCTACATGTCCTAATGTTTGCCTACTTCAAATCATTTGGGCTTGCCCCTTTCCCTCACCTCTCACCAAGCTTCCCTCCTCCTTTGTGGAGCTACTTTTGTTGTTGTTGTTGTTGTTGTTGTTGTTGTTGTTGTTGAGACAGCAGTCTTGCTCAGTTGCCCAGGCTGGAGTACAGTGGTGCAATCTTGGCTCACTGCAGCCTTCGCCTCTCGGGTTCAAGCAATTCTCTGCCTCAGCCTTCTGAGTAGCTGGGATTACAGACATCCCCTACCACGCCTGCCTAATTTTTTTGTATTTTTAGTAGAAACGGGGTTTCACTATCTTGGCCAGGCTGGTCTTGAATTCCTTACCTCATGATCTACCTGCCTTAGCCTCCCAGAGTTTCCAGTGGTTTTTATTCATCTTTATTATAGTATCATCAGGGCTGAGTACTTAATTTTTTTCCCCTGTCTTCAGTGGAGATGGAGTACAGCTGTAATTACAATTTGTGGAAAGATGCCTGGCATGGTGGCTAATGCCTGTAATCCTAGCACTTTGGGAGGCTGAGGCAGGTGGATCACCTGAGGTCAGGAGCTCGAGACTAGCCTGGCCAACATGGTAAAACTGCGTCTCTACTAAAAATACAAAAATTAGCCAGATGTGGTGACATGTGCCTGTAGTACCAGCTACTTGGGAGGCTGAGGCACAAGAATCACTTGAACCCAGGAGGTGGAGGTTCCAGTGAGTTCAGATTGTGCCACTGTACTCCAGCCTGGGTGACAGAGTGACACTCCATCTCAACAACAACAATTATTTATGGGAAGATTCCTGGGCTTGAAGTTGTTTGGGCTAAACAACCCTAGCCTTTTTACCTTTCTTTATAAATCATTCCTGTTTCCTTAGATCCTTTCTTTGTGTTTTTTTGGCACCTTGGTGTTAATTAATTCCCTCCCCTCTCCTTCCCTCCCCCCCTCCCTCCCTGCCATCCCCTCCCCTCCCTTCCCCTTCCTCCTCTCTTTCCTTTCCTTTTTCTCCTCCTTCCTCCCTCCTTTCCTCTTGCTGTGCTGCCCAGACATTATTATAGCTCACTGAATCCTCAAACTCCTGGGCTCAAGTAGTTCTCCCGCCTCAGCCTCCTAAGTAGGTGTGACTACAGATGTGTGCCAGCATGCCTTGCTTGATTTTTCTTTCCCTTTTGCAGTCTGTGGTTGCAAAAGGAAAAGCCCTTGCCAAAGTAGATTCAGTCTTCTGTTCAAGTTATGTTTCTCTGCATGAACCCTCTTCTTTACACATCATAACTGTTTAGTCCTCCTGAGCCTTTGTGTGTGCTCCACCATTGTTGTTAATGGTAGCCTTAGTTATTTTTAAATTTAAAAATGTGATTTTTGGGCCGGGCGCGGTGGCTCACACCTGTAATCCCAACACTTTGGAAGGCTGAGGCGAGGGGGACACCTGAGGTCAGGAGTTCGAGACTATCCTGACCAACATGGTGAAACCCTATCTCTACTAAAAATACAAAAGTTAGTCAGGTGTGGTGACACATGCCTGTAGTCTCAGCTACTTGGGAGGTTGAAACAGGAGAATAGCTTGATCCTGAGAGATAGAGGTTGCAACGAGCTAAGATTGTGCCACTGCAATCCAGCGTGGGCAACAGAGCGAGACTCAGTCTCAATAAAGAAAAAAAAATGTGTTTTTTAAAAAATAAATAATACATTCATGTTGGATATTTGAGGCAAAGCCTCTGTCTTATCTCTCTATCTGTGTGTGTGTGTGTGTGTGTGTGTGTCTGTGTGTGTTTTTCCCTCATGGAGGACAAACTGCTAGTAGGTCTTAGAATATTCTATGCAACATATGATAGAAAATTTGTATATATGTGTATTTAAATATATATTTTCCTCACTTAACAAACAGAAATAGTAACCTGTTACATAATATTCTTTATTTGCATTTTCAGTGAAAAAATGTATCTTGGAGCTTGTATTATGCTATTCTTGCATTGCTATAAAGAAATACCTAAGGCTAGGCTGGGCGCGGTGGCTCAAGCCTGTAATCCCTGCACTTTGGGAGGCCGAGGCGGGTGGATCACGAGGTCAACAGATCGAGACCATCCTGGTCAACATGGTGAAACCCCGTCTCTACTAAAAATACAAAAAATTAGCTGGGCACAGTGATGCGTGCCTGTAATCCCAGCTACTCAGGAGGCTGAGGCAGGAGAATTGCCTGAATCCAGGAGGCGGAGGTTGCAGTGAGCCGAGATCACATCATTGCACTCCAGCCTGGGTAACAAAATCAAAACTCCGTCTCAAAAAAAAAAAAAAAAAAGAAATACCTAAGGCTAGTTAATTTATAAAGAAAATGGATTCATTTTGGCTCATGGTTCTACAGGCTGTACAGGAAGAATGGTGCCAGTATCTGCTTCTGGCAAGGGCTTCAGGAAGCTTACAGTCATTGTGGAAGGCAAAGGGGAGCAGGCGCATCACATGGTAGAAGCCAGGAGCAAGAGAGAGGGGGAGGTCCAAGATACTTTTAAGCAACGAGAACTCTCGTGAACTAACTGAGCAAGAACTCACTTATCACCAAGGGGGTGATACTAAATCATTCATAAGGGATCTACCGCCATGATTCAGTCGCCTCCTACCAGGTCTCATCTCCAACATTGGGAATCATATGTCAACATAAGATTTGGAGGAGACAAACATCCAAACCATTCAGAGCTCATTCTGTAAAACATATAAAGAGCTTTCTATTATTTTTTTCTAGCTGAATAATATTACATTGTGTGGATGAGCCATAATTTATCAATTTCCTATTATTTCTAATCTTTTTTTTTTTGAGACTGAGTCTTGCTCTGTTGCCAGGCTGGAGTGCAGTGGCATGATCTTGGGTCACTGCAACCTCTGCCTCCCAGGTTCAAGCAGTTCTTCTGCCTCAGCCTCCTGAGTAGCTGGGACTACAGGTGCACACCACCGTGCCTGGCTAATTTTTATATTTTTAGTATAGATTGGGTTTCACCATGTTGGCCAGGATGATCTCCATCTCTTGACCTTGTGATCCTCCCACCTCCACTTCCCAAAGTGCTGGGATCACAGGTGTGAGCCCCTCAAGCCTGGCCCTAGTCTTTTACAAACGATAGTGCTTCTGTTACTAATCTTATATAGGTAGGTGACCATAATAGGTTCTTTGGCTATTTGGCAAACCTATGGAAGAAAGCCTTGAATTTTATAGTAAGCAAATATAGGAATTTTAACAATGGAAGGATGCTGGACATTTAAAAGAAATTCTTATCTCAAAATGTTCATATTGTCTAAATTGTCATCCACAGGGACATATAGACAGAGTAGATGCTGAAGCTAACCAATGTAACTTTTGAATGAATTTGATCATCAAATATATAAAAGCTAAGTTTTCCTTATTGTTGCCATTGGAGAGAATGATTATATGTTAGAAAACATAATTTTCTTCATTGCTTTATTTCAAGTAGCAGAACTTTGTGGTGTGTAGTGATTATGAAGACTATACTTTGTACTGTTTATGTTTACCAAAAAAAACCCCAACAAAATGAGAATCAATTTTAAGAAACAAGCTAATTAAGAACAGGAGACTCAGACGGCTTCCTCCTCCTCCAAAATGAACCTCAGGGAATCGTCTGAGACAGAAAACCTTCTGTGTCTTTGGGATCTAAAGGCAGGAATGGGCCAGGCGTGGTGGCTTCTGCCTGTAATCCCAACACTTTGGGAGGCTGAGGGAGGCGCATTGCTTGAAGCCAGGAGTTGAAGAGCAGCCAGGCCAACAAGTTATAACCCCATCTCTAATAAAAATACAAAAAAATTAGCGGAGTGTGGTGGCACGTGCCTGTAGTCCCAGCTACTCAGGAGGCTGAGGCAGGAGAATCGCTTAAACCCAGAGGCAAAGGTTGCAGTGAGCCAAGATCATACTACTGCACTCCAGCCGGGAAAACAAAGTGAGATTCGGTCTCAACCAGTCACTCACTCAATCGGTCCATCACTCAATCAATCAATGTAGGAATGACTTTGGGTGAGACACTTTGGGACTTCAGTTTCTATTATTTAATTTCTACTTGTCTCTGACTTCTTAAATTAGAGATTTATTGGTATCTAGAGGCAACTTGGGAACTGAGATACACCATAATTGCTTATCTTTGATTTAGAAAGATAATTTTAAAACTTTATCTTTCCATCTTGTTTATTTATCTTCTATGATACTATCCTTCAGGAAGTAAGAAAGAGAGGGGATGGATAGAAAAAGCCAATAGTGAGAAGCAGCCTTCTATAGAATAGATATTTAGAGAATGTAGCTCATTGAGTTTTCTTTTTCTTTTCTTTTTTTTTTTGAGAT